GGCCTTCGGAGCTCACTTGATGCGAACCCGGTTTCCAGGGCGATGGTGGAGCAAGAAGTGCCAGCTCCGCCTTCCATTCCACTTCCCCTTCCCCCAAATCTGTGGGACCTCACGGTTCTCCTCCCACGTGACAGCATTGTGTCATAGCAGCCCCTGTATACAAACAAGCCAGACTATTTAAATGTCAGTGTGAGAGAGATGCTGCCTGCTCTAATTTACATATCTATTCAGCCGGCTACTCCTTTCTCGATCTTGCCAGATAAAGTTTTCTTCCTCTTCCTCGGCTCTCCACGCAGAGCTGGAGAACCATATGCAAAGTCATATTTCTGTTGTAGTATAAAGATGTGAGTCATCAAGTTCCTACAGAGACGAAAAATTAGAATGACTATGTAACTTATGGCATGTGCTCACTCATCAACACATCACAAATGTCATATGCTGCTGGCCACTAAATGCTAGATTCTCTCAAAGCCTACTCATAAATTCTCCCTACTGCCAAACAATACAATATTTTTTCTTCTTGGAAAGCTAAGGTACCCTTGGTGCTTTTAATCTTCAAAATCGGGTCCCAGCTGAATAAGAAAACAATTCTATGTGGGCAGGGAAATGACCCAAAATGATAAAGTGCAACCAGTTCCCACTCCTGTGAAATATGGATTAGGTCACAAATAAGATTATCTTCATCACCAAGCCCCACAAGGATGTCATGATTAAGTTAAAAGAGTCCAGAAACTCAAGTTGAAAACTAAGACTGAGTTGGGTTGAAATTTCCAACCCCTCCCTAAAGACTTGGCAACCTGTTCCAAATCACAAGTGAAACCAAGTTGAAGGGACATCTGTTTTCTATGTGTTTGGCATTGCAGAGAAGAATGACAGATTAGAGATAAAAATTGTTGTGAGTGGGAGAAGGGACCAAGAAAATTAGAATCATCTACCTGTTCACAAACTCCTGTAACTCAATAAATACCACCAGGGAAAAAGAAAGAAGGGAAGAAAGAAAGGGAGGGAGGGAGGAGAAAGGAAAATAAATGGGAAGGGGTTATCCTTTTACCTGCAGGAGTTGAGACTTCAGTGAACAAAACACTGCTACATTTGAGATGAATAATCATCCCAAATATTGGATTGTCTGCAAGAGAAGCAGCGAGCATTTTGCTTGAAGTTTGGTGACAAGGGCTAGGCATTAAACTTAAACATTCAACACAATATCAAGGCACCATTTTCTAAGCCTCAATGGACTATCGGGATCATTTTATGAGTAGATATTACAGACTTTCCCTTGATCCCTACTTCTGTTTTAGTGCAACTTGAGTCACACATAGCATCTACTTAACTTCTAGTCCAGGTATCCGGAGTTAATAAGGGCAAGATAACAGAATGGGATCAGTAGGCAATTAAACTATATTCTTAGGGTTCTAGAAACTTAGGGTTCTGAAATTTTTCTTTCAAAGCCAGCTCTGGTTATTATTAACAACAACAGCAGTAACAGTAGCAGTAGCAATGAGAGTCATGGTGATGGTAGTAGCACAGTAGCAGTACTTGTAATAATAATGGCAGTAGGCAAAATAATAGCAATGGCAATATTAACGGTAAAAGTGATACTAACCATTATTTATACAATACTTCCTAAGTTCTAGGTACTATTCAAATATTTTAAATATAGTATTAATTTATTTAATCCTCATGTCACTCCTGTGAGATGGGTAAGGTATTATTAGAAATCCTGTTTTAACAGATGCTTTCAACAAGATCTCTTTGTTATTTCTGTTGTTGTTACCAACTAGACCTAGCTTTCAAAGAAAATATTTAGAACCAAAAGGAGAGGAAACGCAGCCTGCGTCCAAGGTCACACAGCGAGAAGGCAATAGATCCAGCGTTCAAACCCAGGCTGTCCAGCCCCAAAGCCTGACCCCCAACTGCGCTGTACTTACTGCCCCTTTGCTTAGGAAGGCCTTCTACAAAGGAATGCGGACGGAAGTTAGGCCCCTGCCTGCCGGTAGTCAGGGTTAACACTTGGAGTTTGCTGTTTCCTTTAGGAGGCTCCCCAAACCCACATTAAGACAAGCAGCCCACTCCTACAGCTATAAAAAAGTCACTGCAAGTGTTACCGAACGCTTCCCACATGGTCTGTGACCTCCATTAGGGCTTTCACCTTTGCCAGCTAAGGCAGAAGCTAGGAATGGGGGAGGAGTGAGGTGCAAGCCAGGTTCCCAGGCCACCATTTCCTGCCCAGTAACACAGCCCTCAAATAGCCAAGGCTGCAGGCCGAGAAATTCCTCACTAAGGAGTTTTCTCCCAGAGCTTGTTCCTTTAGCTTCCTCACCAATCTGCCAGCCAAGGACTCAAGGGAGACGTGGGTCCAGGGAGGAGAGACAAGCAGCAAAGTTTGTTTATTAACCTGCTGCACCCAATGGAACATTTTTCTGAAATGGTGAAATTCTTGACTACTCAAAAGAAAAAAGAAAGAGCCTGTGGGAAATTTAATCACCAACTGAACAGAAGTGAAAAACAAAGCCCTGCCAATGAGGATGTTGCCGAAGACAATGGGGCTCCTAAAGGAGATGCAATTGTCTCCAGATAACAACCCCTGCGGGAAAGCAGCTCACACTAAGCACTACATTATCGCTATATTAGCCCAGGAACCTCCGTTCACCCGGCAACTGCTGGCCGAACCATCTGTTACTGGTCCTGGGTTCCCCCCCATTTGCAGACACAGCATTTGCATTTCAAGAGGAGCCTTGGGGAAGCAAGGGGGAAGGTCTCTATCTCTCCCTGGAGCAAATACCTTTTTATACCGCCTGGGAGGGGAAGCTCTCCTTTCCGTGAAACCGAACTCCTCAATTGAAAGGAGATCGGCCACTTCAATAATGCACACGCAGAGCAGAGCACCATGGCCCCTCTCCGAGAGCCACTCGCGCCCCATTCCGGTTTTCAGGTTTTCACATTCTCCAATTGTAAAGTATCCAGAATAACGCCAAGCTGTCTCTAGGGCCTGAGGGGGGACTCTCCTTTCAGAACGAAGACCTCTTTTTTTTTTTTTTAACCCATAAAACAAGGACAAAAGCTGATATTCTGTACTTTTAATTTATTTTGTTTAGACTAATTAGCTTGAACTATACCACCACTTTAAAACAGACTGTGATCTTCTGGGCTGAAGGAGCTGTTTGAGGTCTTGATCTAGGTGGGGACTAGCGTAGTACAGACTTGTCAGAATTCACTGGGATGGGCGCCCTTAAGATTTGCGCACCTTCCTGTGTGTAACTTATACTAAGATCCATTTTTAAAGCAGAGTGTGCCCACGTCCCTGACAGGCAGGGGCACTGGGAGCGAACCACTTGCCTGCTGGAACCGCACGGCTGCTCTGCGCTCATTGCGTCCCCTCACCGCCATCCACACCCCAAATCCCTCCTGAGAACTGTCAAGTTCAAGAATGTGAAGAAGACAGTTCTCCAACTCTTAACTAAGCCAGTGACTACAGATGTCTCCTGTGTGTCCTGTGAGCCCAAGTGTGCATCACAGAGAGAGCACCTGTCACACCCCAAGCCAGTCCAGCCACCTATCAAAAATAAGAAGCCGGGGTCTTTTTCTCAAATGGTCATGAGCTTAATCACATTAGAGGGACATGGTTGGGGCTTTTAGCAATAGAGTCTTGGATGTATTCTTCTGTTTATTTAACCCTATTTTTTAAGTAGATGTTTTTAAACTCTGCCTAACACTCCTGCTTGCAGGAAGCCGGTTACCCCTTGTAAGGTGCAGGCCTTTGGTGGAGCAATAGAGCAGCATGAAGTGAGCCGCGGTTTCCGCAGGCAGATCAGCAGGTTTAAATCTGTACCATGGTAGCTCTGTTACCCCAGCAGCATCTTGAGATCTGCAGTGCCACAGCGGGGTGTCACTAAGTGACAGTCTGAGCACTAACAGGCTTCCCCATTGCTGGGTCTCGGACTTAGCGGGACATTTCTTCCTTTGAAGTACCAGCCAAGGAGGGCTGTCTGTCACTGAGGAGACGAGGGACACATTTCCCTTGTGCTAAGCCTCAAGAAAGGCTGCCCAGAGAAACAGGCTCATTGCACAGATCACTGGGGGGTCACCTTTACCCTTTTGCGCCCTCCAAGCGTCCCGACACCCCCCCACCCCTAACACACACACACACACACACACACACACACACACACACACACACTCGTCATTTCGGGAGCCCAAGGCCACCAAGCTGCATCTACAGATAGACATCGAGAATCAGGATTACCCAGCTAGCGCTTGCTTCCTGGACTGAGCCGAGAGCTTCAGTGATTTCCCTGGCCTGCCACCGAGTCACTTAAGAAGTGAAATATGCCAACGGGGCCGGGTACCCGGCACCTGGGAGCCCGCCCCCTCTGGGCTGGAGCGGGGTCTGTCAATGGCTGGGCAACGTCTATGCGGCTGGCACGCTCGAAGGTGGGTCCTGCAGGTTCTCTGGCCCAGTGCGCTGTGCCAGCCACACCTGACCCGGTACCAGGAATACAGCCAGAGGCTCCGCGGGGTATGCGCTTCCGTGGAGACACTGCCAACTCCGCTCCGGAAAGGCTGGGTGGGGGGCCAAAAGGCGGAAGGTAGGACCTGCGGCAGGACCCCCGAAATGCGGCGTCCGCAAGGACTCTGGGGGATCGCGCTTCCTGCGCCTTTGCGGCGCTTCTGCTCGAATTGCGCTTCCCGTGGCAGCCCCGGGAAGCGGCGGGAGCCGAGATTTGCGCGGCTGGAGGACAGGAGGGATGGAGGTGCAGGGGACCGCTTCCTGCCCCCGACACGCACAGCTAGACTGCAGTGTCCCGCATTCACGCCCGCTCTCGCCCGAGACTCCAGAGCCAGGGGATGCAGCTCGCCCGAGGCCCTGGAGGGCGACCCAAAGCAGCTAGCAAAAGCAAGCACGGGGGGAGCCGAGGCTGGACTTGTCCGTGGGGTAGGGGGTGGAGGGTCGGTGGCTCCGGGAGCCCTCGCCAGGCCGCCCACCAGCCGCGGGCACCTACCTCGATCCACTTCTGCGCCTCGGAGAAGGCGGGCTCGGGGGGCGGCTCAGGCTGCAGGGGCTGAAGAGCTTCCAGACCGAGAGCGGGACAAGCCATTTGCGAAGCCCCGCGTCCACTCGAGCGCTGGGCCGCCTGGATGAGAACGGCCGTCGCCGCCGCAGGAGCGCGCTCCCCGCCCCTTCCCGCCCGCCCGCTTCCCCCTCCCCTGCGAGCCCCTCCCCCGCCCGCGCAGGTCCCCGCGGAGAGCGGCGCTCGCTGCTGGAGGACGCCGCGGCAGCTGTTCCCAGCGCCGCCCCGGCTCGGCCGCGCCGCGAGTCCCCCGCGGGAGCGAGCGTGGAGGCGCCGGGAGCTCCCTCTGCTCCCCACCTTCTCTGGCCGCTCCGCCTCCGCCAGGGGCGGGAGGGGTGGGGTGTCAGCTACCGACTAAAAATAACCGAGGGAGCGCTGGGTGTCTCCCTCCCTGCCCACAACGAGACCAGGAGAGGGACTCGGCCAGCCGCCCCGCGCGTCCCTGCACAGGACTGCCTGCGGAGGGGCGGGCCGAACGGGCAGCACCTGGGAGCTGAGCGCGGAGCCGGGCTCACGCGTCGGCGGGGAGCCGGCGCTGCCGCGGCGAGGCAGGAGGTCGCGCGGGCAGTGGCTCCGCCGCACCTGCTGTCCCTCCTACTGCAGAAATAGGGGCAAGAGGGCAGCCCTCTGACCCGGCACCATGGAGTGTTCCGTCACCTGATCTTTTTGAAGGAAAGACGACCCTTATAACCTTTTTTCTCTCTAGGCAAGGTACCTGTGTCCATCTACTAATGCGTTCGACCCATATGTACTGTGCACTGAGGTAGTTGCTGAGAACCCAGTGATGAAAAAAGAAAACAACTCGAAGTCCTAGCCTTTAAAATAACTACATTCTAGTGGGACGTAGGGGGGTTGGGGACAGACAATCAGCATGTAAAAGAAAAGAAGGTACGGTAATTGTGTAGAGTGAGATACAGGGTCCGGCACAAAGGGTCATAACGGCCAAGTTTTATGAGCTGGTAATCTATTACCAACTCTTTTATTACAAAATCGTAAGCATATAATCCTTTAACATAACAATATCCCACTCAAGCACACCATATGACATTTTAGGTGAAATGTTCAAATTGCTGTCCACCTCATGAGGGACGTTGACGTACCCTACCAACCACACTCAATGGCATTACTTCTGCTGGACTCTATATTAAGAAGATAGAAGAGGAGAAGATAAACTAGGACCTGGGAAGAGAGTGTTGGCTAACGTCCATTACCCCTCCCCCCTCCACGTGGGAGACGGACTGACCTGTGTGTCCAGGTTCCATTAATGGGAAGGAGGCAGGAAGGCGGTTAAGGAGTGGCGGAGAGGAAGTGGGTATTTATGCTGCCCCCCCCCGCCCCCCCACTGCAGACGTCAGGGCATTGGCTGCACCATTCAGCTCAAGGTGCACACAGCTCTGTTTGGGGCCTCTTTGGGTTCCCTGCTGGTGCCCTGTCTCCTCTTGTCACCCTCCACTTCCCCAGGCCCGGTGGTGGTAAAGGCTTCCCCATCCCCTTCTGGTGTCTCCTCGCTGCCCACTTCCTCGTGATGGCCCCTCAATAAACTTCTCCGCTGCCCCGATTTGAGCCTGCCTTCTGTTTTTGCATGGCAGCCCAACTGATGATCAAGGAAGGCTTTTCTGACAAGATGATGCGATGAGGTGGCATAAATTGGAGAGAAGTTAACCATGCAACAATCTGGGGAAACATTTCCAGATGGGTGCAAAAGCCTTCAGGTAGGAATGAGTTTGGTGGGGATGGCAGACCCCACAAGCTGGAGCTTGGAGAGGAAAGAATCAGATGGGAATGAGAGCCCGGGAGAGCCAGGGCAGGTCCCCAGAAAGGTGGTGGTAGGGAGGGTGTTATGTGAGACCACAGTGAGAATTTATTGCCTGGGCATCCACTGGTGAGCCCAGCGCTGGATGTGTAAGAGCTCAACACTACTAACTGAAAGCAAATGGATTCACATTTCAGAATGGCTGCTGGCAAGATGGGTAAGACAGGGCAGGAAGCCCCATGGGTGCCTCGGCAGCGAAGTCTCTGTTCCTGTTCAGAATCCAAGTTTAACCTTTGTCCAATTCTGCGGCTTGAATAGGGGGATAGATGGAACAAAAAAACAGACCTGAAATTCCACCATTACCGGCTTTGGAGTCAGACAGCCTTCAGTTTATTTACTTTTAAAACACTTATATGGCACTTGCATAGTGCCAGGCACTGTTCTGAGTGCATTACAAATAATTGACTAACTCATTCCTTATTCCAACCCTGTAAAATAGACTATTATCATCCCTGCGAGGAAACCAGGAAACAGAGAGGGGTGTCACACAGCTGGTGAGCTGCGAAGCCCGGATTCAAGCCCAGACAGTCTGGCACCAGGTCTGCTCTTAACCTCACACCAAGCTACCTTGCCAGATCTGGTCCAGACTCTGTCACTTACAATTCATGCCTCAGTTTCCTCATCTCAGATGAGGTTGAAATGGCAACATTTCAGCATCATCATTCTGAGGAAGAAACAGTATTTCTGAATGTGAAAGGACGAAAGCTGGGCCGGGCAAATAGTTGGTGCCCAGTGCAGCCCGGATAACCACCCCATCTGTCCTGCCTTCCACAAAAGGGGGACGAAGTTACCCCTTCAGGGTACACAGAAGGCAAGTGAAGGAAAAGGGCTAATAAATAGCATCAGAAGATGGCCTTTTCTTCAAGAAGGAACAGGGCAGGGTAAATAATCCACAAAACGATGCTAGCATACTAGCACAAGATGCTACTCTGACGTAGGTCCCACCGCGTGCAGCAATTAGGAGAGGGAAGCCGGGGGATTGAAACGACGTACCTGAATCCATTTGAAAGTGAGTTTTAAGATTAAATCTACAATATCTCTAAAATATCTGCTATCAAAATTGGCATTCAAACTAAAACTTTTTTTCTTTCCGTGAAAATACTTATGTCTTTTAAGGTTTATAAACACAAAGTCACGCCTGTTTTTTTCTGAGCTCTGTTACCGATAACGAATTCACATAGGCTACCAAAGACCAGAAGACTTGCAACCATAAGAGAATTCAACCCTAATGCTATCATCAATATATTTTACATGTCATTGTTAAGCACATACTATGTGTAAGAGATTGTACTAGCATCAGAAGAATCCACAAAGGTACACAGACTTTACGCTTTAGGAGCTAATAATTTTGTTCATGAAATGATATTTTCATTTCTGTATAATGTAGTTGTCAGATATAAATGTAATATATATCCATTGGAGAAAATTTGAAAGATACAATAAAGAAAACAAATCCAGTGGAAACCCCACAACTTACAAATCATCACTATTTGGGGAATATGAAGAAACATTCTGACTAGAAAAAAATACTATGAGACAAGGCACTCTGTGATAAATTCCAAATGGGAGATACAGTGTATTCAAAGAGCATGGGTTTTTTTGGTAATAAATTTATTGAGATGTTATTTACTTACCAGACAATCCACTCATTTAGAGTATACAATTCAGTGTTTTCTTAGTATATTCCCAGAGTTGTGTAACCATCACCACAATTAATTTGGTATATTTTCATCTCTCCAAAAAGAAATCCCATACATTTTAGTAGTCATCCCCAAATCCCCCTTGCCCCCAAGCCCTGGCAGACACTAACCTACCTTCTATTTCCAAAAATTTGTCTCTTCTGGGTATTTCATATAGATGGAATCATACAATATGTAGTACTTTGTGTGTGGCTTCTTTCACATAGCATGTTTTCATCCATGTTGCAGCATGTATCAGGACTTCGTTCCTTTTTATGGACAAACAATATGCCATTGTATGGATATACCATACTTTATATATTCATTCATCAGTTGAGAGATATTTGGGTGGTTTCAACTTTTTGGTTATTGTAAATAATGCTGCCATAAATACTCACATACATGTTTTTGTGTGTACATATGTTTTCATTTCTCTTGGGAGTATGCCAAGAAGATGAATTCCTGGGTCCTATGATAACTCTATGTTTAAACCTTTGATAAACTGCCAGAATGTTTTTCAAAGTGGCTGCACTATTTTACACTCCCACTAGCAGTATATAACGGTTTCAATTTCCCCACATCCTTGCTAACACTTGTTATTGTCTGACTTTTTTATCATAGCTATTCTAGTGTCATCTTACTGTGTTTTTTTATTTTATTTTTATTTATTTTTAAAAACAGGGAAAAGGAGGAAGAAAGAGAGGGAGGGAAACATCAGTGTGCGAGAGAAACTTCTATTGGTTGCCTCTCGCATGTCCCCAAGTAGGGACCTGGCCCGCAACCCATACATGTGCCCTGACTGGGAATTGAACTGGCAGCCTTTCAGTTCACAGGCTGGTGCTCAATCCACTGAGCCACACCAGCCAAGACATTATTGTGGTTTTAATTTGCATTTTCCTGATGGCTAATGGTGTTATTTGTTGAGAATTTTTATGAACACATTGGTAATTTGTACATCTTCTTGGGAGAAATGTCTATTCATATCCTTTGTCCATTTTTAATTGCGTCATTTTTTATTGAATTATAAAAGGTTTTTTTATATTCTAGAGAGAAGTCCCTTATCAGATATGTGATTTGCAAGTGTTTTCTCCTACTCTGTGTGTTGATTTTTCACTTCCATATTGCTGTCCTTTGAAGCACAGAGGTTTTTAATTTTGATGAAGTCTAATGTACAGGGTCCAGCAGAAGTAAGGTCTGCATGAGTGTGGTTGGTAAAGTGATAATATGGGTATAATAATTTATAGTTTTAATTTGAACACTTCACCTAAAAAGTCATATGGTGTGCTTGAGTGTGATATAGTTATGTTACAGAATTACATGCTTATGATTTTGTAGTAAAAGATTTTTTAATTAAAAAAAAAGATGTTTTTTGTGCCAGACCCTTGTATATATATTTTCCTTTTGTTGCCTACGCTTTTGGTGTCATATCTAAGAAAGCACTGCCTAATCCAAGGTCATAAGATTTATGCCTGTGTTTTCTTCTAACAGTTCTAAAGTTGGTCACTCTTACATTTAGATCTTGAATCCATTTTTAGTTAGTTTTTGTAAAAGCATGAGTTTTGCAGTCAGATAAACTTAGTGTCATAGTCTGGGTCTCCTGAGAAAGATGGAATTTTAAAGATGC